GGGCGACCCGGTGGTCCAGTGGTCAGCGCGTCAACCTCACAGTGCAGAGATCGTGGATTCGATACTGGCTCCGGCCTCCCCGTGTGGTGTTTGCATGTTCTTCCCAGGCCTGCGTGGGTTTTCTCCGGGTACTCCGGTCTCCTTCCACATTCCAAAAACATGCATGGCAGGCTGATTGAACACTCAAAATTGTCCCTAGGTGTGAGTGCGAGCACAGATGGTTGTTTGTCTGTGTGTGCCCTGCGATCGGCTGGCAACCAGTTCAGGGTGTCCCCCGCCTACTGCCCGACAGTTATTTCGACAAATGACGAGCAACTTCTGTAAATGATAATTGTTTGGTTTGATTCAGTGATCGAATCATTCAAATATAATTGTTTTTAAAAGGTTTTATGAGAGAGATATCCTTCTACTGGTATATATCTATATATATATATATATATATATATATATATATATATATACATTGAGCTTCCCAATCACCCTGAGACAAAAACAGTAGTTTTATATCCAAAGAAATGGACTGTGGACATGTGAAGTGTTTAAGTACAATAGCAGGACAAGGGAGGTTGGCTGCCTGGATACAGGATATACACAAATGCGCAAAAGATTTCATGAAGAATTCATGAGTTTATCGCATCTTCTTTCCCATGTTGTGGTGGTTTGTTTATGAGTGCCCAGTTTATGGGTCGAATAAAGAGCTTTAAACACAGGCTTGCACTTTCTGGTTTTCACAGCAGTTTGGTTTTAGTTAAAAGACCCATCCATCCGCTTCTTCTACTGCTTATCCTCACTTGGGTCGCGGGGTATTCAGAAAAACACTTTTTCTTTTTTGTGCTATTGTGTGAGAATGATGATGACGTTGAAATGTTTTGATTTTATTTGTCCGTTTTAGCTGGTCATTGGTTTCACTCACCTCGACACGTCACTCTGCCAATCAGCTCCTTTTCTGTCTTCTCATTTGAATGCTATGTTTTTATTTTTAGTTTTGGCCTGTCTGCTCCTTGTTGTTCGATACCTCTCCTTTTGACCTTTTTACTTAATTCTTCCAGCATTCTCAGTTCCTCTATCACCATTTGAGACAGAACTCTCGTCTGTGTACAATTTTTTTCCAGATCGATCCCGTCTTCTTCTGTACTCGCTGATACTGATATCAAGTAAGCAATACCGCTAGTACTTTTGATACATAACATTTTTTGAAACCAATGACAGATCATTTTAAGTCATTTATTTTTTCTGGCAAAAGCCAGAACAGTCAATCTGCAGTACAGAACTAAAACACAAATTCACTCTTTCATTTGTAATAAATGAACAAAAATGCAAAGTTAAACTAACAACTTCCCGAGTTTTAGTCTTTGTTCAAAATAAATTAATACATTGATATTTATTATTTATTAATGTACATTAAATTGAAAAACACAATGTTACCTGTATTCATAATGCACTGAATAAGAACTTTCATTTTTCTCAGTCGATGATAGCAGGTAAATGTGTCAAGTATGTGGATAAAATATCGCAATGAAGAAAGTCATCATACCACCCATATTGAATCAGGAAATAAGAAATGTAGGTAGCAACATGCTAATAATGCACTTTAAGCATTAATATAAACATTACATTCATATCTATACTTGTATAAATTGGCTCTTCATAAGCATATGAGATGATGGACATGAATGGAATTCAAAAGCGAAAAATGTTGTGTTAGCCATGCACAAATTTACTTTGCAAATAAATGTGTAAAATCTAAACACTAATACAGAAAACGCATCTTAATGGGCATTTGAGAGGATTGGCAGGAATGCAGTTCACTCAGAAAAATGTTCCATCAACCTCACATGGCATTTACTTCCTAATTGTAGGGTGCCACCAACTGGTCTTGGTGACTGGAATCGGCAGCCTTCGTGACGGCTCGATACCTTAAACTAAGGTCGGTGTCAGCATGAAAGCGATACCTGGTATCAGTTTTCCCCCATCCTTAGTTTGTCTTCCTTTCATTTGAGTGAATTTTAGGAATAATGGCTAACAGTCAAAGATGGTTAACAGTAGTGAATCACTCGATCGCATTTAGCTTACAAGCTGTGGTGCTTCTGCGTTTGGGGAATGTGATGTAATGCAATAAGGCGCTTTATATTGCTATTTCAGAGATGGGAGTCGCTGCACAGTATGTACTGTATCTTTTTCAAGAACGTGTGTGTAAAATGCAGTCCCCCCCAAAAAACTGTGGTCTTGCACACATGCCAAGTATGGCTCAGGCTTTGAATGGAAACAAACTGATGATTAAGAATCAGTTGGCCAGTGGGTGGATATCATCTGCTGGCATCACTGATAAACTGTGCCACAATCCACAACCCTATCTATAATAAAACCAGCCAGCCGTCACCATGTCTGTTTGTAACTTTTAATATTTTGCTGTATGCCTATTTGGTCATCCGTGCTCGTCAGCTTTGATCTTTTGCTCTCCTCAGGAAACCAATGCTGTGCTTGCTCAAGTTTTCTCTTCTGTGTCATGTGTACTTCGATTTTAGTAACATGGTTAATTTTTTTATTTATTGCACCACCCTGCCAATTGTTTATGATCTCTCTGCATTTTCTGAGGAAATTTTTATTTGACTTGCTTATCAGCAGGTTAATTCTTGACTCTCCGTCTACCTGCTGCCCTCTTATTTAATTCCTTCAGTAAATGTTTAAGAAGGTCGTTTGCACATCAAAAATAAATTGGTGGGTAGTTTTAGATGGAAGAGATAAACGGCAGGATGATATACAAGGGATTCAGTAGGACAAGGAGGGGCTGCAGATGAGATGCAAGGAGGCATAAAATGAACACGGACATAAGGAACCTCCAGCACCAAATGAAGTTAGGGGAAACATATGCCGTGTTTTCAGCATATCCTAAAGCAGGCACTTATCTAACCTGGATGTGTGAAAAAAAAGCTAATTGTTTGTTTCCTCATATTCCACTCGCCTGTATAAGCAATAGATTCAGGTGGACCGTATTCTCAATCGCATAGCGAAGGAAAACATTTGCATTTTTGCACATCTTACTGCGTTTGTGCCGCATTACACGATAATGAGATATTGATGTCCATAGAGCACCAAACACACAGCTTGCTGTTAGATCTCCGATTGATCAAATCATAAATGAAATTGAAATGTTATTTATCTGCTTGGCCAGAACCAGATATGCGGCACTATCTTGATCCTGCATTGAATAATTTAAATGATAATAATGCTCAGGTTTTTTTTTCAGGTTTAATGGTTGTATATTTTATACATTTAATAAAAGAGACTTTGGTCACATAACAAAAAGATTCTCTAAAAGTGATCTGTTACCAGTAAAGCTACTGATTACACCATGATTATGTTTCCTTGTTTTCAATCAATGACGTCCTGAAACCAAAAGAACAAAAAAAAAATCAGATGAATGAAAACAACATAAAAAGAGGCAGCTCCTTTAAAGAGTTTTTTAGCGACTTGCATGGCAAAAGCGAGAAATCTGTGAAAATATATCTGCAGAGAATTCGCATATGAATAGATGGCCATGAAATACACCCTGTAGCTTTTTTTTTTTCATTCAGCAAGGTCACCAGTTCAACCCAGCAGAATGAAAAGCAAATAAAAAGCAAGCTTCACACCTGCGTAGAGATCTGCACCAAAATAAAGACCTTGGCCTGCGGCTTAACTTTCCTACCAAGCATAATCAAATTTGAATTCTATAACATTTGTAAAAACAGCCAGAAAACTATGTGGCAAAATCATAAAAGATGATTCCTGTGTAGCAATGCACAAATTAGATGTTTCAGTTGGTACACATGCACAATCAAGTTGAACTTAGCACAAGAGTTGTAAAACAAACAAACAAACAAAAAAATTTAAAAAAGCAGTTTTTCAATTATCATTATTGGAGACACATTCAATTAGCACTTTGTTTTAGATTCATATTTAAATTCATATAGTCACACCTTGCATTGGTTTTGAAATTATACAGCTATATATGCTCAACATAAATCTAAAGATTAAATAATTAAATCAGCTGTCACACAACAAAAGTTAACATAAACATTTGGTGGCCATTTATTTGATACACTCCACACTGCGTGCATGGTGCACGGCCATTGTTTTGGTTTTTTTAACCATTAAAAAGTGAGCACTCGAAAAGGACCGAACACACACCTGGTTTGAAAGCCTTTTCCCCTTTAGGCTGAATCCTCTCGACAAACTCAAAAAGAGGTCTCTGGAAATGATTCCAAATGTAAATAAAATACTGCTCCTGCAAACCAAGAGGCAGTGACGCCATAGATGAGATTAATAGATTAATATTTCACACTCACATTATTCCTGCAGGCCAATCCTTTTGGTAATCCTTTTACTTTCCCCGCTGGTGATATTATACCTGACGTGCCCACATTCTTCAGCTTTTTTTTTTTTTTTTACTATATATAAAATGATGAACTACTACATGTTCCCTGACCGAACAACTACAAACAAATCCTGATTATTTCAAATCGTTGCAATGAGAAATGTTGCTGATGGCACTTAATGCACAGATCATGCTTTAGAGCACATAGATGAACTAGCCCCGCCTTCTCTTTCTCTCTGAATGTTTGCAGTTATTTCAAACGTGCACTTAAAACCCCCGAGCATCTGCCTTGATTCCACATAAGCTTTCAGTCAACAGATCTCAGGATGGCGCAACAAAAGCACTCAAAAGTGAACAGAACCAAAAAGGACTCTCCATTCACCACGGAAAAGAAAAGCCGTATGTTATTCAATGCAAGGGCAAAAAAACAACAACAACAAAAAAACTATAGTTACACTTTACGGCTATCTTTTGCATGCTGGAAATTACAGGCAAATCAACAAGTCAATTTCGAGCAAATTGATTTTGCCATGCACAACTGCTGGCACTCGCACCACCACCCTCCTCATCGTCGGCATGATCATGATATAACCTTTCTTTTATGTTTCCGCTTGCCGTGTATCATGCACCAGTGAGTTCTTACCTTGAGTTGTGGCGGCTCTGGAGAAATGTGGGCGTGCTCGTTTGCAGCCAAACTGTCCAAAATGGGACCAGTGGATCCGTCTGGACTTGAGAGGGCAACAGACGATGATTAGAAAATGCTCGCAGTCTGGAGCGCGAAGGAGAAAAGAGGGGATGTAACTGCAGCTCCTGCTCAAGCACGACCGTCTGCGCTTTGCTGGGAAGAATTACTTTGCTCTTCTCTGACTGCCAGCCCTCCCTGCTTCACTCACCAACTCCACACTCACTCACTCACTCACTGAGAAAGAAAACATCTTTCATGTGAGATCACCATTGGAAGCTGATTGAAGCGCAAATGTGTGCTCCATCCCAGTCCAAAACTTGCATGTTAGACGGCCAAACAAATAGTCTCTGTGTAGGCACATCAGACGAGTTCGGATTAAACTGTGGGATTATTATGCTTTAAATGTTCATCATTTCATCATGCGCTGTCGGACAATGACATCAGTGTTTGGCAGCTGAGCGCCACTATTACGTGGGAGTAGATGGAGAAAAAAAATGAGTGAATGAAAACCTTTCACTTCCATTATTGATTGAATGTAGCGCATGATGCGGAACCCTGGTGGCCCGCTGTACGTTGGGCGGGGCGGGGGGAGGAGGGGGGGTCACTAGGGTCACGGGTGCGTTGTTTGGCACGTGATGTTCAGTGTATGCGTACACATAAACATAGCCAAAGCGGTGTGCCTGCTGACAGATGGCTACTGTAATGACGCAGGAACCAACTCCTGGGTTTAAGCGTATGTTTGCTTGGATTATGCAGAAACTAGAGAGGCACTGCTTATGTTTTATTGTTTATTATGATATCTCAAAACAGAGACACCCTTTACATATGGTAAATATTTTGTTCAAAGGACACTTTGCTACAATGTAAATAAGCTTGCTTTTGTAAATAGACGGTCCCCTCATAATAAGTCGACATACAGCCATTATTGTCTACATAGCTGACAACAAAAGTGAGTGTACCCCTGAGTGAAAATGTCAAAATTGGGCCCGTTTACTCATTTTTGCTCGCTGGTGGCATGTGACTCGTTAGTATGAAAATGTCGCAGATGTGAATGGGCTGCAGGTGTGTGAAAATTGAATCAAATCAAAATAAAATTCAACAGAGAACTATCTGGGTATCTGTAAAAAAAGATTTTTTTTCTCAACTCAAAGCTCGCCTATACTGGAGTCTATAAAAAGAGTGCCAAACTCCCCATTTAACATTCATCACGTTTTCTATTTGTCTCACCAGGGACACGAATACCTCCAACTTACTGAGCTCTTGATATAGGAATAATACCTTACACATTTGTGCTTTAGTCCAAGCATTTACAATTTGCATTCACACAGACATTTCACCTTGAGCTTGCGACGGGCAATAGTTTATTTTCTGAAAATAAAAGTACCTGTGCATGTGACGGAAAGATGGAGCTAGAAGCACGGTCAATAGAGAGAGAGAGAGCAAACAGGTCACAGCTTGGCGAATACAGTAAATATTCTCTAGTGCGGACTCGTGTTTGCGCTGTCCATTTTGTCCTGAGAACAGAAATTCCTCATTTGGGAAATGAGCATGGTACATGTCCTTTATGAACCTGCAAGTATGTTGGCAAAATGCACGTGTAACAACACAATCAATAAAATACAAAAATATACTGT